CCATCCTGGAGTGTATACATGAGAGAGATTGCTAAAGATGTATATATGTGTGTGTGTGTGTGTGTGTGTGTGTGTGTGTGTGTGTGTGTTGGGGGGGGAGGGCACTGTTTTGCATTTTTAAGAATGTATGAATGCAAGCAGACGATACATACTCTTCCTCAACTCCATAGGATTTAAAACTTTATGAAAATCTATTAATTCACACACGTAAAATCCTCATAATTAATTGCCTTCTTCAATTCTTTTTCTTACATGTCATGATACCTAAGACTTACCTAATACCTAAAGTTCCTCAACTTATAAACACCTTTTACAGTATTCTAGGGGGAAAAGGGTAATGTGCCTTTTAAAATACTTAGCCTTCAATTTATAGACAGTCCTTGTGTTTGATTTCACTATCTAAAAAGTTTAAAAATGCTTAAATTCACAAGGACTTTGGAATTAAAGAGAGAAAGTCAAAAGAGAGGATGAGCCCTTATTATTTTCCACATTTACCACTGCCTAGTCTGTTCTTTCTTTTGTCGTCTACATTCTATTCACTCAATAACCTATTTTTAAGACCCCACTACAAGCCAGACACTGCTCTAAGTTCTGGGCATACTATAGTGAGCCATGAGAAAAAATACCTGCCCTCACGGAGCTTACATTCTGGAGAAGGCAGATAATAAACCAGGAAGTAAGTAAAATATAGATAGAGCCTATAAACAAGTGCCGATGCTAGAAAGAAACTGAAGGAAGAGGAGGGGAGCAGAGGGGCCAGGGAAAGGGTGTGGTTTACAGTTTAAAACAGGGTGGTCAGTGCAGGCCTCAACCCAAAGGAAGCAGGCAGTGAGCACGCAGATATCTGAGGGAGCCCACTCCAGGCAGGGGCCAGCACGTGCAAAAGCCCTGAGGTAGGATATGTTAAGATCACTTACTGAACCTGTCTGTTGTGTCAGGCTATCCTCTAAGTGCTATATTTTTAAAAACTCACTTTAAATTATATACGTGTGTTCGTCTGTGTATGTAATATAAAACTTATTTCATCCTCCAAAGAAAGAATGAGCATTTTCATCCATTTTGCTTACTGCCAATACCCTAACAACTAAAACTGTATCTGGCACACGATGAATGAAGCTCAATACATTTTGTTGAATGGATAACTGAATCACCCACACTATGAGGGTGTATGTTAGCACATCCACTTTACAGATGATCAGGCTGAGGCACAGAGAAGCTAAGACATGGTGGAGATGATACAGTAAGAGGGTGGTAGAGCCAGAGTTGAAGCAGAACTGTAACTCCCAGACCAGCTCTCTTAACCACAGGTTCAGAGGACAAAATATGGATTCTCCCCTACTGGAAGCCAAGAATCAAAATGTCATACTCCAATTACAATAAAAATCACAATATAATACAGAACACAATAAGGAAAAATTATTATTTGTTAGAATGTCACATCCTAACAAAATGCAGGTTGAGATCTCAAAATAAACTGTTTCGCAGAAACAGGCAAACTTTCATTTAGAAAGAAAAAATTAAATTCATTTCTAATTAAGAGACTTCTTTATTCAGAAAAATCTTTATTCTAGATATAAAATCTACTTGGGCTTGAATCAAAGCAATACTAACATTTACTGTGAATATGGTAGGATTTCTTACTGACATCTATTTGCTGCACCAAACTTCTGAGATCCTTTGTGGTATAAACAATTTAAAAGTTATAACATGAGGAAACAATAAAAGACACTATAATAGTGTCTAATAATTCAAAATGCTGGTAAGGATTATATCTGATAAAAGTACACGCAAATTTCACAACACAAAACTTTATCAACTTTTTATCTTATAGCTGAGATGTGCATCAGTGGCTAATCTCCTTCTGACATTGGATGAAAATTCCAAAAGCGACACATGAACTAGTCACTGAAACTGAAATTTTAGAAGAAGGAAAAAACACCTTGAGTGGAGGGAATTACAGACATGTCCACTGAGCGCTCACTTCTGGAAACGTGCAAGTTGTGTGGAGGTTTCAGTTTAAAAGCAAAGAGAACCCCAAGCTATTTCTCACCTCGGAGTCCCCTGACTACGCACCGTCTTCACATACCTGGAGTGAGAGCCTGGCTCTGAAGGAAAAGGCCGGGCTGCTGGGGCTGGCCCACGAGGTTGTAGCCCCACAAGGTGGACTGTGGGTGATGCATCATCTGGGAGGAGACGGGTGAGTAGTTGGGAGGCACTCGGTACATGTTGCTCTGTGGATACTCCTTCAACACAGGGTTAAAGAAAAAAACAGTCACTTAACTCCACACGCCACAAAGATAATTAACGCAAATTCCTCCTATCACATTATTTGAGAGAGCTCCTATCCCAGCAGTCAGCATATTCTCTGCAAAACACTCATTTAAATTAAAACTCTTCCTTGACTTAAAATGTACATGGCTACCGTAGGGGAAGTTGAAAAAGGAACTCTTCTGCACTCTGTTTAAAATACTAAAAGCACATTTAGAACACCAGTATTGACCATCACCCACAGCCGAGAAAGTGTCTTTAGTGGTTGAATCTCCCGCTCACTGCATCTTACAAGGCTTTCCTGATACCTTGTACCTGGATGAGAATTAGCCGGAAAGGCCCACAGTACTTCAGAACCAGTCTCCAGCCTAGACAGTGTCTTAGTTCCAACTTTCAGTACAGCACTCTAAAGAAGTAGATTCCCCTTCCATCTTGTCCCCTTCCGCCCCTCACCACACTTCTTGCCCAGGGCTTTCTCTTCCTTGGAGCAACTGCAAAGCCTCTAAGGATCACACCTGAATGCCTCAATTCCTCCTTCTCTAGCCCTGAAGGATGAAAGGAAAAATAAAAGCTCAGTTCCCTGCAATATACCCGATTGAAAAGAGGCAGCTTCAGGAAAAGTATGGGAGAAAGGGACATGACCAGGATGCACCTGGGGAATGAGATGAGTCTGAGGTCTTTTAAAGCATCTGAAAAGGAGAGAAATGCATCCATGTGGATAGACAGGCTAGGAGACCCAGACTCGGGGGAGTGGCAGTCTGAACCTTATTAAAACAGTCTGGACCTTTTTCAGAACAGAGGGATATTGGTAGGAAGGCTACACGAGAAGAGGGCACTGGCATTCAAGTGGCATCCAAAAGCGATGGCGGTCATTTCTAGAATAATATTAATCACCAAGCTATCAGCTAGGAAAAAATGTTTTGGTTTCGAACCAGGTGAACAGTACCAATAATTAGTCATGATGACTGAACAACAACTTGTGAATATTTCTTCCACTGGACAACAAGAACGCTCTCGAATTTTATAGAAAAATGTCACAAATTCCCTCTCAAATATCTTCAGGTGAGTTTAAATGGAAAGCTATTTTACATGTTAATTCTATAAAATTATTTCTAAGTTACCATCTCACAGATGTCTGTTTTTTTCAGAAAAGGTTGCTCTAGGTAGGGAAGGCTAACAGGGAAACAAGCAGTAAAACTGTTTCAAATTACGTTTATTTTACTTCTTATAAAGTCTGAAAATACGGTAAAAAAGTAGAATATAAAGGAGAGTAAGACGGAAACAGTAAACTAGGAGATCTCAGAATCATCCTATTAGATAGATCAGATGGGGTTTTATCTAGGGAAAACAAAGACTTTTCTATGTTAATTTACTATAGCTATCAACTGCCCAAAATACAAAAAATATTTTAGACACCTCATAATAAAAATATGTACGAGGATGAGATTTTATAGGTCAAAAAATTCAAGTTTCAAATTTGAGAAATTGTGAGACAGTGAAATATTCATATTATTCACAATTGAAGCCTAAAATTAAACAAAGTTATGAAAAGTAGAGGAGGTTCTGTTGATAACATCTGAGCCGTCAGGACAGCTTACAAATAGGCTGACACTGCGCCTAGGAATGTTTCTTAGGGATATAATTCAGGAACTAGTAAATCTGCTAGGAGACGTTAACGTGCCCAAGACCTCTCTCTACTTCCCGTACTCACATCAACTCTCGAGCTGGATTTCGTCTTGCGCTTCCTTCCCTTTGTCTTCTTCTCTTCATCTGTTGTGGTTTTTCCTTGATCTGACAGCTCAGCTGATTTCCTCTCCGGTTCCTGAGAGATGGGAGATGTAGGCCCTTCCTCTTCCTCCTCAGGGGGCAGGGGCAGCGGCTCGAGGTAGTAACTTCGGGGCTTGGGCATGGGGTGTGTGTGATACAGGAGGAGGTGATGCTGTTCCTCGTACTTGATGACCTTCCGGTCCACTCGGACAGTCCCGAACCAGGCCCAGGACAGGGGAGCTGGGTTCTTCTGACCCTCAAGCAAATCCCATGGGGACACCTTCTGCTTCGTGGAGACCTGGAGACCCTGTGGTGAAATAGTGCGCTATGACCACATGCTCAGATGTTTGCCTGATTCGGAGGCCAGGCTTGCTTGGGACATGGATTCAGAGAACATTCTGCCTCGTGGGGGCCTTAGTGAACTCTAGCACAAGGCAGACGGGCTAAGTGATGAGTCCAGGCTGACACTAGGTCACTGAGAGCGGCGGCTACAATCCAGACCTTTAACTCCAGTTCTATGGTCCTTTAGATGACACTGTTCAGGCTGTGACACCAGACAGTACAGTAGATTTTACTGTAAATGGCATTTTTTTCCATTTAGTTTTTTTTTTTTAGCAAAAAAAAAAATTTCTAAAAAACACTGCAAAGGTGATCTTACTATACTGAACCGTAAACCTTTGGAATCTATTGCTTTTAAGATAAAACAAAACTTAGGAGTCAAGTTATAGTCAACCCCTAATTGGGTTGGACTTGATTCAATACAGGCACCTTTCAGGTACTTACTTGGGCAGTCTCTGAATAGTTAAGTAATATTATTACAGAATTAACTTGCACCAACAGGTACAAATAAAGACCTTCAATTCAAGCTTATCTCTACTGAGTGTAGAAGAAGAAATGTTATTCTGTTTCTGAAAATAAAAGTTTCTTATTTTTTAATTAACAGTAATTGGCACTGTCCCTTGGTCCTTTCCCTGGCACACCAATCGGAAAAAATTTTTCTTCCACGTGACCCTGAAAATAACTGCTCAAGTTACTTTGAATAACTTATGAATGCTCCCGTTCCAAAGCTACACATACTCTTCCACGGTGGCTTCATCCAAAACCAAGGCTCACTTACCATCTGTATTTTGACTGTTTCCTAATATCTGTCTTGACATTAGACCTCTTTCCTGGGTGCCAAGACCATGTACCCAAATGTGTCACCACTGGAGAGCCCACCAGCACGGCGAACTCAACCTGCCCCTGACTCTAGCCTTGCCTCTCTCCACAAACCGTGCGGGTACCAGCACTCAGGGCGCTGTGATTTACTGCAGCGCTGCATCTTGCCTATAAGCGACAGTCTCTCATGCCTTTGCACAAACACTTCCCTGTGCCTGTACCACACTCTGCCTTCACTCCTGGCTGACTCTTAATCCTCCAAAATGATTCAAGCGTCGATTTTCCTAAGGGTCCTGTTCTGACTACCTACCCCACATCTGAATGTGTTGGTCCCTTCTCAGCTTCCCCTAGCACTCCGTACCAGGACACACAAATCTCACCACACTGTGATCATCTACTTCCTCTTAAGGGTAGGAACTCTGTCTTTCATCCCTGTGATCTCAGAAATCTGTGGCTGCTCAGTGTTCATTGAAAGAGTAACTGACCACTCTTCTCATATTTTAGAGAACCACGTTTAGTATCTTATATAAATCAAGTGTTCATTAAATATTGTTCAGTTGATAAGGAAATAAAGTGCCATCACTTTAAAAAAATTTGTTTACTCAAAACAATTACTACATGAAGACTTTACCAATAAAAACTTTCTCATCTATTAAACGTATTCTGTTTCCAATTCTGCAGTAAAATCAAACCCCATCTTTGCTTTTTTTTTTTTTTTTTTTTTTTACATTGAGGTTTTACTTACTTTTCCCTTGGTGGGCTTCAGAAATTCACTTAAATTCAGGAACAGTTTTAAATGAAGATCTTCAAAGATCATTATCTGTATGATAATGCCAATAACCGTTGCATTTAAATGACAAGGATATGTTTTAAAAAATCAAGAAACAATAAAGTTAAGATGTTTTACATGCCCTACAGGAAGACAAGAAAATGCATTTTGTCTTTGTAAGTTCATGCATTTTTATATATAAGAAACAAACATTTACTCTTGCCTGTTTTTTGTCTATAGAGTCGAATCCAGCAATTTTGTTTCCTTTTGTGTCAATCAAGGAGCCCATAGGTTCACAAGTGATGACATCACATGTCTGTTTTGGCAAAGGTAGCAACTGTCGAACTTTGTCAATACTTTCTGACCGCTTGTCTCCCAGCTCTTTCTAAAAAAAAAGGGACAGAGAAGTAAGACAGAAATTACAACAAAGGCAAAAGTTAACAAGAAGGAAGTTCCATTTCCTTTTTTATAGCTGGAATGTTCTTTAACCTTGAAGATGGTCTATGGGGCAGCTTTCATTGAGAATGGTGAGGATGTTTCATTTCTTCTATTTAAGTAGAAAATAGAACACATATAAGGACACCCTGGTTACACAACACACATCAGAGTGCTGAAATGACAAAAATCCAGAGTAGCATTTGCAACCAGAAGGCAGGAGCTGCAGCACGGAACACACTCCCCAATCCAGGGTCAGACCTCAAGGTAACCATTGGTTATTTTATTAGTAAGGTCATCGGGTATGTTAACTTTTTTTCCTGCATTGTTTGTTTGCACTTTATTTCAAAGACTGTGTTAGTGGCTGCTCAAATGAATCGAACTTAGAGATATCAATGCAAATGTTTATTTTTCAACAGCATGCTGCCAGTCGAAGGCCAAATTATCCTAAATCTAACGTTGGCATTTTGGTTATACATTTGATAAGGGATTTCTGAAGTTCCTTAAGAAATTAAATGTTTTATGAATATAATTGTTTTAAGAAAAATCTCCAAGTTATATATACTTATAACTTTTGGGTACTGGGAAGCTGAGGTAAAGCAAATAGCAAAATAATCACATTACATTAAGTTGAATGCAATAAATAATATCTAATTTAAGGAGTGATAAGATGACATGCACTAAATAACAAATCCATAAACAATGAGAACCCACAATATAAGCAGGTCACAAGCTTACTTTCAGTTTCTTTACTAAGTTCATGTATGCGCGTTTGTTCTCTTCAGATCCCCCTGGGGATGCGTTTGATAGGTCAGAGGCCAACGTTCCATTGATTAAAACACCCAGCATGTCAAGCACTGTTGTGAATAATTCACTAGGAGGAGAAAGAAAGCATTTGCACCTTAAAGCAAAACCAAGACACTCTTAAATAACTGAGCATTTTTATTTAAGGCACAGAATTATTAGTGGTACCGAAGAATATACGATGTGACAGAATTTGTAGTCAGTATATCAAAGCCTTCACTACCCACGCATGCAGCAAAATCAGTGTGAAATGAATAAGAACATACTTGTTAGTGTGCATGTCGACGGTTCCAGAAGTAATGATCTGAAGGAGAAGAAGGGCCCAATCTGTCGTCCACTGGGTGCTTCTCTGCACTGTGTCAAACATTCCTCCCACCTTGCACATAAAAAATACAATGAAAAAATATGCACGGTGTTACAGAGAAAATACCACCCTCGCCACTTTATGCAACCAAATTTTGATTGGTTTAAACATTTCTTTTAAAAGGTGCTCTAGTTTATGGATTATCTTGTCTTCTCTCTCACCTAGCTATATATTTGCTACTCTTTTTGGTTCCATTAGAACAGGAACGGGTCATTCCAAAAAAAAAAAAAGAAAGAAAGGGGTACTCTAGTGTAGACATGTCATCAACATGAATTACATACTAGTATAATTAGCTTTCTTTTGTCCCTAAATTTCATGATATCCAGTTTCATGACGTAATTTTCATCTAATTAAAGCTGAATAGCTCAAAACCGCGTGACTCAATTATCTACAACTTTGTGTTGTCAGTTACTATTGAATCTAAGCCTGTTGTCATAATAACACTTGGAAATACCCAGTAACAGAGAAGTAAAGACAAGCCCCCAGGACTGCTTGTTCACGCGCAGGAATTAATTTCAAATATCAGGCCAGCCATCTTCCAGAGTAGCTTTTATCTGGGCTGTACACTGAGAAAAGGAAAAGTCAAAGGAATGTGCAGTGGCCAAGGAATTTTAAACTTCTATAAAACCTCCCTGTGGGGATTTGTCTTTATGACCAATTTGATGGAAAGTTTGATAAAATTTTGCCTTAAAGGACGTTTTAATACAGTTTTTGAGCAAGTATGGTAAAAGCTAACACACCTCAAATTAGTCGTTCTCTAAGACCTACTCTTGGCACAAATGGAAAAGAGAGAGAGATTCACTGAGGGTGAGGTGCAGAGGGCAACCCAATGCCTAAAATACCTACTGTTGTCCAGAAGCCAGACCAGACAGAAAGGACAGTGGCCAGGGCGACAGAAGGTTTGAGAGACAAGGAAGTAGTAGAGAGAGCAAACAGCAGGCCTCACCTTGTAATGGAAACTGTGACCACAGCAGGAGTGGAAAGCTGGAGTTATTTTCACATTTAGATAAGTGTAATGAAGGGAAAACACTAGCAGCGTCTCTTACCAAATTTAGGCGGAGCTGCAATGCCTCGTGCATCATCTGTCGTGCTTTTATGTCATCCTGGTACCGTTCTTCTCTCCAATTACTTAAAATCTAAATCAGAAGATGAATGAAAACAACCCCCAAAACTTGTTTTCCCTGTTAAATTTGATTTTTCTCATATTTAAAGTTAAATTGAGCTTTTTTTACTGACAGTCAAAAACAACTTCTTAGTTTAATAAATTAAAAACCAAGGGGCAAAATAAAATTTTGCTTTCCTCCCCCTCCTCCAGGCAGACAGAAGTCTGGCTATTTCTTTGTTTGGTATCTAATTACATACCCTGTTAAGAAAAATCGTATCTAATTACAGATCCTGTTACTGAGTCTTAGAAAATGCTATAGAGGGTCATCAAGTTAAGCATTAACAAAAATAAAGATTATTTTAAAAATGTATCATTAAACTGGTCTTATAAAGATAAGTATAAAGATAAAGACAGATAGAATTACATTTTATATCAGTCTTGTCCTATATTTCTAGGGACATGCTGTGAATCCTAGCAAAAGTATTATTCTGACGTTTCATTGAAGGCTTGCTAGTTTACAAACTTGTCTTCCTTGATAAAGATATTGTAACCTATTTTGAAAAATATGACATATTGGACATCAGTGGCATATCAATTTATTAAGTAACTGCTTCCTCACTGATTCAGACAAATGTTGGGAAGGGAAGGGTTGCTTAGCGAAGGCAGACCACAAGTGGGGAACACCCAGAATCAGATGATACAAGCAAAAACATCCCAAACAAACCCATACTGCCATGCTCTGAAATAGGGCACCTAATGAGAATCATCTCAAAAGAGCTGAAATGAGTCATGTGCAGAAGTAACTGAGCCCAAGAGATGACTTGTAGGTACACCTCATGGTAAAAGGAGAGCACTTCCTAAATATCATTAAAAGATATGAATGAACCTCCCCCAAGGCAGGTGAAGGGTACAAGGCAGTTAACAAAACACACAAGCTGTCATGGAGCTGACATTCTGATAGCAGGACAAATAAAAATAAGTGGAACAAGTGGTATGAAACCAGGGCAAGGGGATAGAGAATGACTGTGGTCCTACTTTTAGAGAGTGATTGGCGGGGGGATGTGGGGGGAGGACTAAGGAGGTGACATCTGAGCAGAGACCTGAGGAAGTGAGGGACCGGCCATGTTACTAACTTCCAGGGAAGGGGAGAAAACACGCAACGGCTCTGCAATAAGAATTTGCTTGGCAAGTTCAAGGAACAGTAACGTGGTCTCTGTGTACAGAGTGGAGTGAGCGAGGCCATGCCGGGCAGGAAACAAGGTAGAGGTGGGAGCCAGTGCCCAATCGTGGAGGGCCATATAAGCCTAGACCCGGAAGTTTTATTCTAGGTATAGTAAGAAACACTGCAGCATTTTGGGCACTGGAAAAATATGTGGTTTACACTTAAAAAGGATCACTCTGGCTGCTGTCTAGAGAATAAGTCTCACATATCCAAAAGGGAGCGGATGACAAGGGGACCAAATGAGTTAAGTGTCTTGTTCATGTTCATCTAGTACCGTACAAGAAGACACGGTGTCACAGAATCACAGCCCCATGGGAGGTCTCCATTAGATGCTACCGCACGATAAAACATCCCATATAACCAAATCTACCCACTCTGCTCCATTCTATACTTTCTAATTCCACTTTGATCACTCAGTTTCCTTGCGGTACACAGAATATAAGTGCTCTGAATAGTGACCAGGAGAACTGTGATTGGTGGGTGGAAAGGCAAAGTCCAAAGTCTTTGTAAATGAACCAGAATGCCTTCTGATTTATAAATGAGTATCTTGTGCACTTGACCAGCATCAGTCTGGCTCTCGCAGTAAAATTGAGTTTCTGAACCTACATAGCTCAAGCTGAGACCCTGTCTGCTACATGGAAGCCCAGCAGAGCAACTGGAGAGAGGTCCCTTTTGTTGTACTGCCATGTCCCCTGCAACACAGATTGCTCCAGGACCTCTCCCATGAGGCAGGGTCAGGAGAGGAGCAGATATGACAAAATTATGTGCAATCTGCAAAACGTTACTTTTATAGTCTACAGACATTCACCCAACACGTAATTAATATTATACTATTGTTAATCTCATGGTGACTAGAGTGCCAGGTAGGAGAACGGGGCATGGACGGTGTTTTCCTGCTTCTAATCAAAACATGTTGTGCCCTTATTTTAAGGGCAGTATTTGAGTTTAAGCTCAGTATTTGAAAGGAAAACAAATGAATGCCATTAGGAAAATACCTGCCTGGCTCAATATTCTACTGTACTTTACCTGGTTAACTTGATTCTGCAGAGATGTTAGGAGGCCTTCTCGTTGTTCATCTTGTCCCTTAAGGCAGGTAAGGACCAGGGAGAGGAATGGTTGCTGACTCAAAAGAGACATACTACAAAGGAAGTAATAACAGCAGATCTAGTTAGAAAGAAAGGATTACTTCATGTGCAACACTGATGTCTTGCCCTCGGGTTATTGGCTCTTATTTATTTTACTGTTACAAAAGGGAGGGGAGTAGTAAATAGCCAGGATCACTTGAAAAGTTAAATCATATCTCTAACTAATATGGTTAAAAGTCACTGTAATACTTCTAAATAATTTAATATGTTCTCTTGCCCTCGAAGGAATTTGCAAACTAGCATTAATTCGTACTGCATACGAGCGTGTCGGGGGGGTGCAGGGAGAAGAGAATGTGTAGTTTCCATCAGTAAACTGAATTTAAAGGTACACATCAGGAGGAATATCACTTTATACACAGAATAAAATGAAAAATTTTTAAACTTCTCTTACACAATATTCATATTTTAGGGTCCAGGAAATAGGCCTATACAATTGTTCTGCTTGCTTTGTTTTTCAGCACATTTCTCAAGACCAAATAGCTGGGAATGGGTAGAGCTAAGTAAGATGCGCACTGAGGTCTGAGGACTCCAAAACCAGAATGCTTGCCAGTGAGCTAGTGCACAGCTCTGCCACATCCCACAGGCTTGACTTGTAAAGTGGTTTTAAGACATCTGATAAAAAATCCATTTTAAATTGTCATTTTAGTAGTATTTCTTCCATGACCAGGAACAGCTGACAAAGCATACTGACAAACTGACTTTGCCACACCGGAAAGGAAAATTTCTTAAAACGAGATCGAGGTCAAAAGATTTCAATCTGCTTCATCTTAACACCGGCAGAGCTGAGAGAGACTCACTTGGGAAGAGCCATCTTCAAACTCTGACACACCATCTCTGCTCCCTGTGGGAAGTGTGGCGATGTACATGCCATCACCCATTAGCAAATCGACTTTGAGAATTAAAACTGAGGCATCTGGTTGATGAATAAATACTGGCAAAGATGACAAAACAACCCAACAGCATACACGCAAAGCTAGGTCAACACCAAAAGGTATCAATACTTCAGTTAAGAAAGGAGAGCGCAGACTCAGAGGCCAGACCACCTGGGTTTCAACCCCAGCTTTACACCTCCTTAGCTGTGTGTCTTTGAGAAATTTACTTAACCTTTCAGTGCCTCTGTTTCTTCATCTTTTAAAAAGGATATAATGAGAGCACCTATCACATATGATTGCTGTGAGATGTTCACGTATGTGTATAATGAGTTTTATACAGAGGCTGGCATTTCATAAGGGCTCAGTAAATGGCAGCTACTAAAAAATATTACTGATTAGGGGGCAAGAAACCTGTATGTTCAGAAGTTTTGTTTTTCAATGTTAGGAATTTCCTTTTACTCCCGGGGCACTAAATTCATCACGGTTTCACATCAGAGTGTGCTTATGTTCCTTCTCAGTAACATGGTCAGTTTTCCAATAAAATTACTTGACACCTTTTCTAGGGCATAAAATTTAAAAAACATTCAACTTGGAGGCTTATAAGTTAATATCTAGTCTAGAACAAGAGTCCTAAATGTTAAAAAGATTAGTAACTGTTTCAGGGTCCAGCATGACAGAATCATAAATTTATTCTATGAAATTGAAGCATAAGTACCTAAATGTAACAAGAAAAGCAACAACAACAAAAGAACTGTTGAATACAGGGACCAAGTGGATATCCAGATTTGATGCAGCAGGTCTGAAGTCAGTATTTTTAATAGTGTAGCAGTGATTAGGGTACACAGGCAGAATTGAGAGCTAGTGTACTGAATATTATAATCTGGGATCTTTGAGGAACAGAGATTTGCCTAACAGAATGTTCTCAGTTCCATATAAAGATGAAATTTCAACGGACTCTGAGTACAATGAGCCTGTGCATCTGTAGAATATTGGATTTTCTCGACTGTCCTTTAAATTCTCACATAGAAACACATCTTCCAGACGTACCTTTTCTGTTTTTGTCTGTCTCTTTCCTTTTTTGAAGAAGAACCCAAGTGCTGTCCCTTCTCCAGCTCCTCCCCAGCAGCTTTCAACACTCTTCCCTGCACAGAAGTCGGCAGCCTAGCAATTAGGGGGGCTACCAGCCACACGCCCCTGCGTTCAGAGGAACTAAAATCAGAAAAAGATGTTATACCCAAGGAGGCATCCTTTTTCTCTGCTCTCACGGTTCTAATAGAAACTCCAGAGCATAACTTTTATGCACAAGACACAGATTATTCTAACATTCCCCCTTTTACTCCTATACTATCTTTCCTCTTGCCAAATACCAGACATTTGCACACACTTTTCAGTCATGCTTATGGAAAGCAATAAAAGGTGGGGTTCTGAGGGGATACTATAACTAAACTTTTTTTTAAATCTAGAAAAGTGTTTTTCTACGATTCTGGCTCTCTGAGCAGTAACGGTCCTTTTGTCTAACAAGCGATATACTTCTCTGTCATGGTTAAAATATGAAATGTTCTGATTATGTTTAAGTATGTAAATAACCAAGTTTTAAAGGTTCAAAATTCACTAGTTATACTTTACACCTAAATGATGAAATACAGGTCTATCTGCCTTTTGTGATTATCATTTGAGCAAAACTGCCAATTAATAAAGATGGCAGAAAGAGTGTTTATTAGGAATAAACATATTAGGAATACCATGGACTAGAGCAGCCTCAGGGCACACTAGAGAAATTCTTCTGTCCTGAATGTCATCTGTGGTTCCAAGGAGTCGGGGCCCGCTCAACCTAACATTTAGAACACTAAGATATCACCCACCCCAGCAGCATGGCCCTTTAACATATTAAATAATGATAATGGACACTTACAAGTAATTATTTTCTTCACAATCCTGCAGCTTTATGAAAAAAATAACTGCATTATGAGAATAAAATGTACGGTTACATGTGAAAAATTAATGATAGCCTCATAAAACCACTGAAAAAAATACCTTAGAAATGTCTTTATTCCATTCTGTCTTGTGCTACTCGTATCAGTACTTCCAATCCCGTTTGGGTTGAAGAGGCCCATACCCGAATTAGAAGAGTTATTGTTCAGGTCAGCCGACTGCTGGAATACCTCTATTGTTGCCTTGGCAATATTGTCCAGTAGGTTGTTCATTTCAGCCACCGAACCAGAGCCCTGGAGTCAGACGTGAGAAAACCAGCACGCATGTGTTTTACTTTATCCTCAAACACCAACGTGGTTTTGCTTTTCATAAAATTTTATACACATACACGCTTTCAATATATACTCACAGGGTCCTTCAAGCACTGTTTGATCATTAACTGAAGTTCCAGCCAGGACTGCCTCAGGGTCCACTGCTCAAGATTCTGGGGAAAATGGAGTTAACACATTAGAATATTGAACGTGTTTTAAAACATAATAATTCCTTGCACTATTCTCTTTCTCAAGAAACAGAGGAATGATCACCCACAATAAAGGGATTTATATGAATCAGAAGGCTTCCAAGTCTATTACATATGCTCATTATAAACACAAAGAAATAAATAGGAACATTAAAATAATGTGCCTTACTCTGCTAGGCACTGTAAATGAATCAGACAAACATTTCTTCTCCCAAAATCTATCTAACCAACCACATAAAAAAATGATTTCGATATTTTTTTAATAATATACTTAAGACAGTCCCTCTACAAAGCTTATTTCTCATGTAAACACAGTACTGACTTAACATATCAATATTTATATAATGGTTATACACAATTTGCAGTATCTGTACTACCCAGTAATAAAGTGTGGCAATTACACAAAACAGAAAATTGGGGGAATAAAAATGCCAATTTTTCAAATCCCAAAAATAGAATTAATTGAAGTTAAGAATTACTTAGCAATGACAAAAAAAAAAAAAAGAGGCAGAGTAACTCTTGCTATAAACACAAAGAATGTGTCAAATGACAAAAACACAATCTTTACACTATTATCACTCACCTGAAGAATGCGTTTAATGTGCTGTCTTTGTAGGTTGTCCCCCTCTGTACATTCTTTAATGCCATGAGGATAACAGATCAGTTGCAATAATTTCTGTGCTTGCATATTTGAGAGCACAGGGTCCAAAATAAGTTCTTTGTCTGTGCATAATCTTTCAGGTTCTTTTAAGCAATGCTCTCCTACCCATTCCTAAAAATAATGCAGCAGTTATATTGACAGGCAGAGACTTTCATCAATATGCATACGTAATATGTACTAAACTCATGGTGCACAACAGAAAGCGGACAGGAATCTTCCAATTTAAAGAATATTAGGTGGAAAAAGTGGGAGGGAAAAGGCTTACAAGCAAATTTTCTAGTATTTTGACTTCTTAAAAATACAAAGTAGAATCTTGGTTATAGAAAGTTTTTAAAAAGGAATGCAAAAAAGGAAATACGCAAAAAATAAAGCAGGGGCAGAAAAGGCTAAATAAAGAAAATACTGGTATGTGTTTTCAGTCGGAGAATGAGGCCTTGCTCTAAGTAATGTTCTGTAATCATTTTTTTTACTTGCTATATAACAGTAGTGATTCTATATTTCAATATGTATTCTTCATTTTTATGGAATGCACTATAATACATTCCACTAATAGGTAGGACATAGTATAACATTTAGAAAATTGTCTTCCTTTTTTGATATCATTATGAATAATGTTACCATTGTAAATAAATATTTGTGCACATGTATCCTCTGTACAATTATTTTCTTAGGATAATTTCATGGAACTGCAATTGCTGGGTCAAGGGGGATAGCAAACATTTAAGGCTATTGATGCATACGGCTAATGGACCTCTGGGGAGTTTCCACCAAATTAAAATTCTTTTAAACAGCTTTTCTTCATCATTTTTTCAAAGGCACGTTCTTGTACTAGATGGGGTAAGAAATCATCAGAAGTACTAGAGCCAAACTTGAACCCAGATATGTTTCTGAGGAAACCTGTTTCTTAACCACCTCATCAGTGGCTCAATGCTGGCTGTCCATTAAAATCACCTGGGGAGTTTGTTAAACTTCCAAACCCAGGCCCCATATCAGAGCAATGAAATCAATCTCAGGTAATGCTACCCAGACATCAGCAACTTGTTAAGCATCAAAATATTTTTTAAACTCTCCAGGTGACTCCAATGTGTACCCACAGTTAGAAACCAACGCACAGCTCAGTACCCTCTCAACATCTATATGACTAGTAGCTAACTTTTACCATGGTTACAGTATACCTTAAGAAAAACATGACCCTGTCAACATTATATCTATAGCAAAGTGAAAAAGAGTATATATGGTAGGCCTTTTTATAGAGGGAAGGAGAATTTAATACAAAATGGAAAGAAAAACCAGAAATAATGAAATTGATCACCTAGGGCAGGGAGGAACCCAGGGTAGAAAAGATGAGGGAGGGAGATGTACATCTCTCTGAATACACACTATTGCTCCTTGACCTTTGGAAGTATGTTACTCTAAAGACAGAGCTAGGGTAGAAAAAGAAATCTAAACTGAACACAAACAAAACCAAATGAAATCAACTCTATTTCAAGTGAATAACATATCCACGCTGAAAGAGAAAGGTCAAATAACTTTTTAACATAATGCTGTAAACGCTTAGGGAAAAAAGAGCTACAAACGAATCCTCAACTCCTTTTAGTAGGCTGGTTTTTCAAAGTGGTATAGTGGTAGTAATTCTGAAACTACTTCAGGTGTTTTGTAGAATTCAACCAATGAGTAAATGGTTGATGTTATTGGTAGCCAGGGTTCTTACTGTGGAAGAAGGCGGTATTAATATGGAATGAGGGAATGCAAACAAAAATTTGTGCAGTTTGATTGGAATTGGAGGTATCAGTATAAACTCATGATTATACACACACACATTTATGTACATGGATGTTCTTTTCCCCCTAGATCTGTCTGCTGAAAGGGCCTAGAAGCAATGAACACACATTGCGCATAGCAACGAGCACACGTAGTGCTCGGATCTTGGTTTCTAAATACCGTCCTCTACTAAACGGAACCAGGGTTCCATGAAGGAATGAGTAATTCCAGGTCTGGGGCAGGGAAGTATAAGATAGGTCAGAAAGTAAGAAAATACTTGTTATTTAAAAAAAAAGAAAGAGAGAGAGACGTGTCAAAATAACACAAGAATCAGCATGAAAAGATTGATTCACACTGGGCAAATGTGGGATAATTTGAACATGAAAATAACTGAGGACAGTATATTATAACATATATGAAAAGAAAATGAATGAGTGGAAGGAAGGGAGGGAGGGAGGAAAAGGGTAGGCTCTTCCTAGAGTAGAATGCAAACTGATAAATGTGGAGGGAGTGGAAGAGTTGGGAAAAGCCATTTTGCAACCATTGTAGTAAAGACTGGTGTGGACAAGAATCAGAATGGATGCTATATGTCAGGTGGGGAAGAATGATGAGGAACAGAAAACTTGCACTGTCTCAGAGTGTCTCCCCAAAACTGTTTATTAATTGCAAGGGAAAAAATAATAACTATACAATAGAAAAATCAAAAAACCATACAATGGAGACAACTTGATCAAAATTAACATCTCCAGTGAGGTGCAAATGAACCTCATGTGCCTTCAGATGTGATTACCTGAGAGGAAAGAACATAACATACTTCTACAGTATCCTGGCCAGGAAAGCATAATCTGAAGCTAATCTACAGGAAACTTCAGACAAAGCCAATACTGGGACAACTGACAAAACTGGAATGTGGCCTATAGGTGAGAAAAAATTACCATGCCAATGCGAAATCTCCTTACTTTTGATAACTGTAGTTTGGTTATGTTAATAAATGCTGTAATATTAAAAAGTAAAGAAGAATAATGCATGCCATCTACTCTCAAATGGCTCAGTAAAAAGAAAAACATTAAAAAGTATACGAGGCCACATTCACACACACAAATAGAATTATGAAGCAAATGTGGTGGAATGTAAATAAACAATGACTGAATCCGTATAAAGGGCATACTAGAGTTCTTTATAATTATTACAACTTTTCAGCAAATTTGACATGATTTCAAAATTAAGTTGGCAGGAAAAAGAGGACCTTATATGTACAAGTTTCCTACAGTATTGGGCATTTCTCTCCAAAGAACAGTTACATACTCAAAGTTAAAGGCAAATTAAATCTGAAGAATACCTGTTGACAGATAGTCCTCAGTACATATCTAGCATATTCCCTTAAATTGGCAGTTTCTATGGAGATGCTTTTCCCACAGGATTTTGAATTTTGTGAGGCAGTCCAGATATCATCAGCACTTCCGTCACGTCGTAAACCCCTCATGGTGAAGTCGTCATTCTTTAAAGAGCCGACATTGTTACTGCCAATTTTGGCATCTCCTAAATAACAGAATCACAAAAGCAAAATCACAGACATTCAAAATATTGCCAAATATTTGGGAAATAAATGAGGCAAGCATTCAGGGATTTAAAATATATGAATGGGATCATCATTGCATAGTCAGTTGTTCAGCAATAGAGAGAAGGGATTGAGAGAGTAAATGCTAGAACCCTGAGAAGTTTCATCGGACATGGGAAAAAAACCCAACCAAACAAGCAAACAAAAAAAACATGTTCAAGACTCATTCTTTATTTCGTTTACAGAATTAAGTATGCTTTCACCAAACTTGGAAAGGCCATTAAGAATCACACTTAATAATCACAGAACATTGATTTCACCAATATTTCAAGCATGAACGGTATTCAAATTCATTTGACTTATAGACAAGGAAAAAATGGGTTACTCACCCTTCTAGATGTCCCTTTTCCATTTCTTCTCTTACAATGACTTATTTTCTATCCATAGGTCAAGAGAAAAGTTTTGCCTTAGCCCACCTTACTAGCAACTTCTTGACAAGAGAGATTTATTTCCCTGGGAATGGAAAAGGGCAATGCATACTAAGGAAGCCCTGGAAAACAGGGCATTCATTGAATAACCCATGTCTTTCACTTTCCTCTCTGTAAACATCCAAATTAGAAAACCTCACCTGATCAACCTCTAATACACTCAATAAAACGAAGCTCAGGAAAGTGTTTTCCTCATTACAAGGTTCTGGGGCCGGGGAGGGGAACTGAGCAGAATGGTTGAATAGCTGGAAATAAGAAATCTTCTCTAGCCATGAAAGACAAGTAATTGTCATATTTTAAAAGTGAGAAATTAATATAATTTGGTGATAAAGATTGCCAAATGACAACAGAGCCTCCAAACCCTTGCCTGTTTACCCACAGGATCATAAGCGTTGAACAGGAAAAATTCCTGGAACCAACAAATGAGTTTAGATGAGGCCCTCACGGCTTCACTGTAAGTGAAACCGAGGCCGGGTCAGTGCAAAAAGCCTTTTAAAACCCACAGGTCAACCAAGAAAAAGTTTTGACTCTGCTAAAAAAATTTCAGAAAATCAGAATTGCTTAGTGAATATTTGCTTATAAAATCATAAGCGGAGGGGAGGAATAAATAATACATTTCAACTCATCAATATCTTATTACGTATTATACATTTCTCATTCAAATACTCATACAAAAAAGCACCAAGTTCACTCCACTCACAGACGTTTATTTAATTCAACAGAGCTCTTCAGGAGCTGAAACAAAGACCAAATTCTACATGTACCAACATTTAGCATGTTTTTCCCAACCTTAGGTGTATAAACAACTATTTCCGCACCTTGAGGTAAACTACTACAGAAATTAGAAACCAACTTCTATAAAACAACCCTATTTCCCTAACTCGAAATAGATCCTAGTGGATAGGACTTGAGAGAACATTGAGAACGACATGGTGAGGTAGATAAAACTGCAAAAACAAAACAAAGAAACAAACACCTCTGCCAGTCCTAGTTTAGGAGATCCTCATTCAGTTTAGATGTTAGGATGACAGAGAAGGTCTGGAAGGCTGTGCCAGAACCTTCTGTAATGGTAGAGACAATAGAACAAACACAGTGTTCAGGGACTGCGTGGTCCAAGGGTCTGCTGACATTCAACTAGCCTAATCCTGACTTCTCAGACCTGAAGAACCCTCCATGGCTTAGGAAGCTGTAAAATCTACCAAGGACTGGGGCCAATTAGAAAGGTCAAGGAAAGGCAATCAAAGAAAAATAAACAGGTGATTATGCATTGAGATCAAAATACGGTTATCTGGATATTTAAAGAGGTTGGTAAATTGTACTTGGGATTAGACCCGTCCTACAAATCAAGGGGATAATGTCTAGATGGGACGCGTCTTGGTTTCTGCCATTAAAAGTCTATCACTTATGCATTCACACTTCCAACATTAGTGTATGGAAAACCTACTCTTTAGTTTCTCTCGTGGGCATTAGAGATACCACAGCAAAAATGTGAGTCCCTGACTTCATGGTACGTACATATATTTATTAAATAGAACTGACCAGCCAGCTTTCCTTTCAAACATAATCAGAGTAGAGCAATATGACTGAAATGAGCATTTAATGTTGGCTGTACAATATTACAAGCTCAGAGGAGAGGGTGTGGCCCTCCGTGTGGCTCTACTTTTCCCTTTCTACTACAAAACCCATGGGCATTGCAAAAGGAATGTGTGTGTGTGTGTGTGTGTGTGTGTGTGTGTGTGCGCTGAGGCGAACTTTTAGTAGTTTGTTTTATGAAAACCCTGTTATGCTTCCTCATCATCACTGAATAACACTTCTCAAGCAGGAGTGTAAAGGGTCAGGGTATATTCTAAAACATGTTTAGGACTCATCTAAAACAATTCCTATCCACTCAGTAAATTTAGTTCCAGTCAAAGGACGCTCCCTTGGAACATCAGAGACAACTTTTGCTTAGTCAAGAACATAAGAGGGTGCCCAAAGTTGAAATTAGGCAGTGTGAATTCAAGACTTCCTAATCTTTCAAATCCTAAATGATTTATAGCATAAAAATGTCTTAAGGTATTGCACCGTAAATGAACAGAAAAGACAATACTACTACTCCTGGAGAATATATATCAATAAAGATATAAGGATGTCTTGGACATTACAAATTAAATGAAAACAAAAGTGTGATATCCAATATTGATTTATCAACAGTATCAATATCATTGCAATTATCACCTCATTCATGAAAAAACTAAAGCAGATGGACATAAACTTGTCTAGGGTCACAGTGGAAGCAGAATAACTAAGATTAAAACCCAAATTTTCTGGTTGTTCTAGACCTAGAATATAATATGAAATTTAAACCTGTAGATAGATTACCAAATCAACTGTGTCCATCACAAAGTGTGACTTCTGCCAACAAATGAAGTCAAAACAACCCTGTGGGTCTAAGGATCTACAGTACATCAGAATGAGACACCCTGCAGTTAAAATGCCACAAAAAAAGTATTATATTTAAATTCCCCCAAAATTGTAGATAAGGGACAGACTCCTCCGAGGCCAACTGAACATGAACTTGGAAAATGCCAACTAATTTTTCCAGGAGAACAAACAAACAAAAATATGCTTCTAATAATATTAATTAGAGCTAAACCTGAATACAAATTATTTTGTCTCAGTTTCTGGTGATTAACCAAGCTGAGTGCCAGGATAGTCTTACCAAGCATCATAATTGCTTTTAAGACAGCAAACACCGCTCCCACTTCAATGCTGTTGTGAGCAGCGGCTAAGAGGTGTCTATCACAGGACGATCTTATTCCGGGGAAAGGTTTGCCTATGAGGAAAACAACAAACCTTTAATAGTCTCATCACCATCATTAACCATCTTTTGTAACCATTTACGGTCAGCAGAGCCTTTCATTGTCAGACTGTGGGCGCTGAATTGCTATTAGCTAGCTTTAATTGATGCTTCAGGGATTCACTAAGAAACACTGACAGTATTCCTTACTTAACCTTTTCTTTTTAAATATTAAGACAATGGTGTTGCTCTTTAGAGAGATGTATCCAAAAAATTAGGAGGACTTTTATCCACTTCTGCTGTCTCTCTCACACACACACACACACACACACACACACACACACACACACACACACACGCGTGCGCGGAAATGATCTTTAGGAACAGAATGCAGTAATACCCCTAGAATTCTTACCTTATTCCTTTCACCTCAGTAAAAGAATAAATGCATCACCATTGCCCTAAGCTGCTATGGTGTGTTTCATTAGCAACACACACAGTATGTTGGAGGGTCATGCTGCCCACCAGCTTGGCTTGGCTGAGGAGAAGAGGAATTTTTATTGTTTATTAACTCTTGATGTGAGTTTCTCAATACATCCCGATATTACCTACATGAAAGGTGCTGACAGCCCTCTCAATGGCCATACCCCATGCCTTCATCGCCTCAAAGCAAGCCCACCAAAATCAGGAAGGAAACTACAGAACGGACAGCCTACTTGGTCAATTTAAGCATACGCCTTCCAAATGAAAGCGTCATCAGAGATATTTCAGCTGTCAGCTCACCGGTTGCTTGAGGTAATAGGCAGGCCTGGGGAGCTCGGAAGAGATGAAGTAGGAGTCGGCACGTCATTCTCGCCCCAGGCTCCGCGTCTGCATCTCCACAAGCTAGGAGAGAGGGATTTTAAAAGCAAGTTTTCTAACATATTCAAGAACACGTCTTCCACATTTCTATTATGCTAAATTTTCTGGAATAATTTAAATAAATGCTCCTTACGGTAAAAAGTAAGACACTGTCTATGCTTTTCTGAGAAACCTGAATCCTTCCTTAAAAACAAGTACTGAGAGTGTCGCTTCCAACCTCTTCCACTGGGATCCATGTGACTTTGTTTGGAATAACTGTTATAAATCCTACCATCTCTACCTTGATGCCATATCACTGCCCAATGCATGTTCCCTTAAATTCTACTTTTTCACTGCCTTTTAACAGTTAGAAACCACTGCACCAAGACAACAATGAAATAACCAATGCCGTTCTTGGATGCAGCCTTACCTGCGGCTAGGAGAGAGGGAAGAGCGACGTGCTGCACGACGTCCTCCAGGGAGAAACACTGTCGTGCTATCAGAATAGCAATGAAAGTAGCTAATGAATCATGGAATGAAAGGTCACTCACCTTCAAGAAAAACATTGACACGTTTTAATACCTAACACCCTTTTAAGTAACATCTAAGATTAATATCTAAGAGAATGTAGGCAATACGAATAAGATCTCAAATCCGCAAATGAACCAGCAGAGTGAAATGATTTATAATCATTACCCTCTAGGCCTCCTTCTACTTTATAAGACAAAGAATGAGGTCTACCCACACGCCCAATGCTTTAAGAAGATACTAAGCTTTAGCTTGGGTACATGTAACTGAGAAACAAAACAATAAAACAGCAAAATCAAGAAATCCCTAAAAGATGCAGCATAAATAAGCCTTTTTAGCAGAATGCAGTATAATCTAGCGTTGCAGGGTAAGACCAATAGGAAGCAACAGAAAACAAGGAGGTTCCCCTAGTTGAAAAACAAGCCTTATTAATGTTTTAGAGTCCCTTTTGGGAATAACCAATAACGATTTTGTAATATAATTAAATCAGTTTTAAAAACAACTTTGAAAATTCTCACCCGACTCCTAAATTTAAAGAAGAGTGAAGGTGAGTGAGACAGAGAATGAAAGAGGAGAAAGGGGAGGAAAATTAATTCATTCAGGGTGGAAACCTCTACCCTTTACAGATCTCACAAGACTTTGACAGAAAATAATAAGAAAAACAGCTGTAACAGCAGCCTCCACATTAAGTTGTCCTATATGCCAGTGACTACGGTTAGGGATTTACAAAGATCACCTCATTTACGGGCACCCCACTGTGAGGTTCATACTATTATTAATTCCAACTTTACAAATGAGGGAACAAGCAGAGGTAAAGTGAAACAAAAAACAACCGAGAGATTAAGGAACTACGTTAAAGATAAATATTTGGGTCTTTTTCTGTCTGGAAGAGCAGGTCACAGATATGAGTTTTACATCTTAGGTGCCCACAGAATGGAGCAGGATTATCCACCTGGTCTTCAGATACCAGAACTAGGAAATAAACCTTCAACGGGGAGTCAGTTTTTAAAATGTATAAAGTTCTTCTATACATGAGATATACTAATATGCAATACAAATTACTGCAAGAAATGATGGAAGTGATAGGCAGAAATAAAGAATCCAGATGGATTTTTAAGAAATTCACACACCATGGATGCAACATGCTCTCTGAGGATATCTGTGATCCATAAAGGAGATCTCTTCATAAGCTTCCAGACACTACCACTAAGAAAGACTGGACACCCCTCTGAATCTGAGCCTGGATGTCCTGATCCCACACAACAGAACCTATACTCTCAGATGTTTTTTTTTCATTCTAAGAAAACAAACTGGTGGTCTTCAGAATGTAAACTGCTTTAGTTAAATTATGTCCTATGCCATGAGGAACCCAAGGCACTTGGTAAAAACTATGAACAAACCACTCTGAGGAGACCATACAGAAGAAATCTCAGCTAACTACAAGGAAACTCTTGGCATCTCCACTCTAGATTAGGCTATCTATTCTATTTTGATTTTTTCCCCTTTATTTATTCTTGGCAACCACATTCTGGTTTATTGCTTTCAGGGAGAGAAACACAAAATAATTTACAACATTTCAGTTAATAGCTGAGCCAACTAAAAAAAATTACTAGCTAAATATTTAATTGCACAGTTGAGTTTTTAAATGAAAAAGAAAACTTACATCTACAGTGCAAAGTACATCATTAAACCCCCAGACGTGGTTTGAAGAACAACAAAGAGCCTTCAGGACTCCCAGCCATTCTGAACTGAGAACGGTGCAGCAGGCCGTCAGCTCAGAGGAGAAATTGGCTATGTCATTAATCCTAGAAAGAAGAAAAAGAATAGAGAAGAAAGTAACAAAAGAGAAATACTCACATACGATAAACTTAATGAACACATAGTTTCAATATCATCAAACAGGGCGTTCATTTCTTAGATTCAAGGATATAATAAAAATCCACTTGTCAAATAACCTAGTAGAACCTGGAGCAGAAGGGAAAGGAAATGTCTTATTGGCTTGGCCAAAAAGTTCATTCAGTTAATGAATACATTGTTCAATAAAGTTCTGGGAGAAAATGAAAAATGTATCTTTTATCTTTACTTAAAACCGAACGAACTTTTTGAGCAAGCCAATATTTAATTGCTGTTGAGCAACAAACAGTAACCAGTATAGATGTCAGCTAACATATTTTTAGTTCTGTGAACAAATCTGACCTGTAAATTCACATTTGTAAGGGCATCAAAAAAATTAAAAGGTCAGTCTAAATCCATTGTTTTCAAAATCTGTCTTTTTCATTTGTATTTTTGTTATGCTTTTGAAAACATACCAGATAACTTACAGATTATATCTAGAGCAGCTCACACCAGATCAATAAGCCAGGTTAAGAAAATCATGGAATAGAGAAGCAAATGCAGGAATACAATAAGATTTAAAAACAAACAAACAAAAGCCAAATGTCTGCTTAGGCAATTATTAAAGCCCTTAATTTTAAAGGAGCAGCCATGCAACAACTGTGTGGTTAATCGTGAATCCCAGCTCACCTTCCAGCATCCTGATGGCCCATACATACATTCATGAGCGTGTTGCAGACGAAGCTGTAGCGATTGGCCGCATTGTCACTAAGGATCTTGCCCAGCATTGAGTAGTTGATGCTACGGGCTGAGGGATTCTCAATAAAATCCATCATGAAGTCTGGATCCCATCGCAAGTTAGAATTTGCAGGAATCACATTATTATATATGGTTTGCTTTACTTTTGAACAGGCACTACTGAGGTTACAAGAAGAAGAGTTAAAAGACAAAACAAAACTAAAATAACTAGAAAGGTATTTCATTTAAGGACAGATTAAATGGCAGCTGTAATGTATTCCTAGAGAAGGTTCGCATTATGGGTTCTTCCTAATAATCGGCACCGGACACAGTGCTTGGAATGTGCTAGTTCAATAGTTACTGAATGGGTGGAAGAACAAAACAAGAATAAGACATCTGGGTACTAATCTTGATTATTTTCTAAGTCTTTTCTACATTTTACATGCTTTAAAAAATAAAAGAATCTACTATGGCTTCCAACAACTGTGTCTGAACAGTGGTTGGAAAGTGCTATTACTTAAGAATAATAAAAATGGATTGGATTACACATCAGGAACAACTTGGTGTTTTAGTCCTAATCATTCATCCTGTAAAGCGATTCCTCTCGGTACAAAGTATCCGGGGGGTTCATGTGCCGTGGCTACTCTGGAGGGCTCACTCCCTGCCTTCAAGGAGCTTAAATTCTAGTAGGGGGATATGGGGAATACATACATTCTATGAGAGTACAGAAACTATTATATGGTTCCTAGAACTTTATCACACTGTACATCTCAGCAGTATCTAGAGTTTTTTAAGAGCCTGGTCTACCACAGTCAGAGTTACATCTGAAGAAAATGCAGAATATTATAAATTTATAAAGGGAATTAGAAAGCATCCCCTCTAACCCTGCTCTGCAGATGAGGCTGAAGGATGACCTGATTTCAAAGCTCAGACTCCATGTACGCTTCGCTATTCTAGCCCAATTGCTGTGGATAACAAATCCATAAGCCACAATTCACCTTCTCTATTCAACAGCTCTTTTAAGCAGCAGACACTCTTTTCCTTTTAGATTAAGTTTTGGCAGCAAATTTATTTGTGATCAAGGCGACACATGTCTTAGTCTTATGCGCCTACATAAACAGTAGCCAGGAATGATTTCCTCAAAAATGAAAAGACATATAGATTCTTCACCCTAAGCTGTTAACATTGACAACTGCTTTAAGAAAACTGAGATTGTTCAGTTCAGTGTTTACCAAAAAGTGACTTTAGACTTCCTCCTTCAGAATCACCTCTGGGGCATCTGTTAAAAATAAAAGACTCCTGGGCCTCACTGAAGGTGTACTGAATCTGTATGCTTAAAAAGCAGTCCCAGGGCTTCCCTGGTGGTGCAGTGGTTGAGAGTCCGCCTGCCGATGCAGGGGACACGGGTTCGTGCCCCGGTCCGGGAAGATCCCACATGCCGCGGAGCGGCTGGGCCCGTGAGCCATGGCCGCTGAGCCTGCGCGTCCGGAGCCTGTGCTCCGCAACGGGAGAGGCCACAACAGTGAGAGGTCCGCGTACCGCAAAAAAAAAAAAAACAAAAAAAGCAGTCCCAGGTAAAACTAAGTACCAAATATGCGTGGAAGCACTGGGCCAAGGGAGAGGACTAAAGCCACCCACTAAGTGGCAGCAAGTACAATCTTCTACACCCTTTTTCTTCACCTACAACTTATATAAAAACTTGTCAGGGGTTGCTGAAGGATACAAGCTTGCAATCTGAAGTCATGACCTATTCAAAATGACAGAATTATACAGTCCCCAGTGTTTTTAAGAATCTCCCTTTTCCCTGTCTTAACCCTGCCAGGCTGCATATATTCTCACTTAGCAATAGTTCTTAATTTGTTTCATTTTCCCACTAAAAATGAAACAAAAACAAATTTTGCTCTCTGCCGGTTCCCTCCCTAATACCACATCCCTGGTTTCCTCTACCACCCAATACTCGGAGTCTTTAAGGAAACAGAGTTCTGCAAATAGCAAAGCAGCATCTCTTTTTATTCAACTTTCCATTTAATTCTAACAATCTACCCCTGTCTGTCTTTGGAAACCAGAAGAATTCTGCTTTTCTTTCCTAATTTTTATAAGAGTCAGCCTCACTTTTCGATTAGTATAGAGACTGCTCTCAAGTTGATGCCCTCCTACCTCCTCTGGCAGTTCTTCTGAACTCTGTGGTTCATGGTGAAGTCTCGTGTCCCTTCATTTCTAGGCTTCATATTTCACTTATTACACTCTTTCCAGATGAGCTCTAGGTTTTAGTGAAATGTTAGCTGCCATCTAGGTCACTCTCAAATTCTTAGCACTCCCTGTTGCAGGCGTATATGGAGTTTAAAAAACCCCAAACCCAAACCACACAAACAAAAACTCAGACATTTTCCTTCTGAAACTTGCATGTATAAGAAAAAACTGATAGAGTAATGAAAGCAACACCACCTTGAGGCCAAAATGACTTATGTTCAAATCCAGGCTTTATCATTTATTAACTTATAATGAGGAACAGTCATTTGTTGATAGGAAAAATCATTTCTACTTCCCGGGGTTGTTGGGAGGATTAAAGATCTTGATGGAAATAACCCGCCATAGTGCCTGGCACAAAGCAGCAGCTCAGACGTGAATAATCAGAAGCAGACGTGATTAATGCTCTACTTCCTCCAAATATGATTCTTACACAACTTTATAGATGATGTTTCTGATCTAATCATTAAAACTGGTCTATTAGTATACAAACAGAAGTCGCTGCACATCTAGCTTTCGTTTGACCATTTTTCGTAATCCCAAGCTACAAATAATGCCTGACTTGAAGGTTTCCTGAGAGAAACGCAGTTCTCTACCACGGCTTAATCCAGGAAATTTTAGACGGGTAACCCCTTGTGAAGCGCCATGGTGCTGATGCTAAGTAGCCCCTCAGTTCATGGTTGGTCTCCTGAATCTCCACACAGCCAGTGTGCATTACTTGAATTAACTCATTTAACATGCTTCACCACGCTGCAGGAGCATGAGAGGTCAAATATACCCAACTGTGGCTTCCTTGGGAAATTCACACGGCTGTCGCAAGAACCGAATCTTGTATGAGAAAGCTCTCTGAAAACTGGAAACTGAAACTGAAACTGAAACTGAAAGCGCTCTGTAAAGTAATAGAAGAATACGGGGGACGGGTGGCCGGGCTTCCCTGGTTGCGCAGTGGTTGAGAGTCCGCCTGCCGATGCGGGGGCCGCAGGTTCGTGCCCCGGTGCGGGAGGATCCCGCATGCCGCGGAGCGGCTGGGCCTGTGAGCCATGGCCGCTGAGCCTGCGCGGCCGGAGCCTGTGCTCCGCAACAGGAGAGGCCACGACAGTGAGAGGCCCGCGTACCGCAAGAAAAAAAGAAAAAAAAAAAAAAGAATACGGGGTATTATTATTACAACATTTCTGTGGAAAGATGGTTCCTAAGACCCACTCAGACATTCCATAAGGGATTATTTTGAAACCTAATTCATTTCATAAAGAACATACTTTCACATTTTTCCCTATCAATACCATTAAAAATATCATGGTTTTTGATTTGGTATATATCATTCTTTAAGCAGATTTTGTTTTTGTTTTTGCAGTGCCTACTATGAGCCAGACACTCTTCAAGGTACTGGGATAGAGCAATGAAGAAACTAGAGAAAGTTTCTGCTCTCATGAAGCTTACATTGAAAGGAGCCAGACCATAAATAAATACATAATGTATGAAATGGGGAGGGGCAAAGTGCTAAAGTTCAGAGAATGACGGAGACCGGGGGGAGGGGCTATTTCCAGTGCGGTGGTCAGGGAGATAGAGCCCTGAACAAACTGTGTGAGGGAGCATCACGAGAGAGGAGACAGCAAGTGCAAAGGCCCCAAGGTGGGAGTGTGCTCAGAGTGTTGGGAGACCAATACGGACGTCCATGTGATTAGAATGGACAGAGAGAAAGTGGTGGAAGACAGGACTGGATCCAGTAGATCCTAAAGGCTAGGTAAGGACTTTGAATTCTATTCTGAGTAGATATGAGAAGCCACTGGAAAACTTCAAGTTATTCCTGTTTCAAAAGGATAACTTCTGAAGACATGTTGAGAATACACTTAAGAGAGTCAAGGGTGCAAGCAGAGAAACGAGTTAGAAGGACACTACGATGGTCCAACCAAGAGAGGAGCACGGTGGTAGTTGCCAAGCAATGAAGAGTGGTCAGATTCTACATGTACCTGGAAGGCAGAGTTCATAGGATTTACGAACAAGCTGGAGGCAAGATACAAGGGAGCAAAGGAAACTGTAATTGACTATTCTTTCCTTGCCTGCTTCCAGATTCCAAATTTATTCTGCCAGCTATTACTGCCCCCTTCCCTCCCCCAACTTACAGTTAATCATCTAAATTTCCTCAAACACCATTACGGAAGTACAGAGTCTCCAGCACCTGTCTACCTGTCGCGGGTACAAGTGCTAAGGTGCAGAGAATGACAGGGAGTCAGAGATGCTCTGTGAAGTAGGAAGTTCGAGGAGTCAGAGAAGCAAACGCAGGGAGAAAGTAGGTATGCAAACAGTGGGGAGACAATGTTCCAAGAGAGGTAACAGCAACTGCAAAATACAGAACGTTTTCTCTTGTATCAAAACTGCAATCAGAGCTAAACATGCATAGTGATTTGGAATAGGAGGTTAGAGCTACAATGAAAGATAATTCAATAGGAATTCTGGCAGATATAATTAGGATTAACTTTCATTATTCAAACGGATGACAATTTGGTACACAAACAAATATAGGCACAATCCTATTCCTATTCTTTTGACTTTCTTCTACCCACCTGAAGAGGTCTCCGAATTTACTTCTGAGGTGGCTACATGACACATAGAGATCGTAGAGGTAGGCTAAGATGCATCTTTCTGGGGAAGAACATTCTGAGGGGTTCACCACATGCTTTACCACACCACACAATCTGAGGAGAAAAATATATGAAGAAATGAGACACTTGGCTAATATACGTGTTAGCGCTCGGATCTTTTAGAGTGAGAATGTGTCCATGGATTACTCAAGTAAGAAAAAAGATACCAGATTGTTAACAGTAATCATTATACCAAGTAAATAACTGCATAAATCAGTTTTCTATTATGATATTGAAACACTAAATCGTTTTTTAAAACTTCAGAAATGCCATTAACATTAAGAAATGAAAGAAATTCCTCCGTACAGAAGATACGCAGGGAGGAATCCACCAATAAAGCTGCTGTGACTAGGACACAAAAGCTGTAGGAGAGTATCTCATCAGTAAGAAGACTGACAAATTCTGGAAATTTGCAAAGGGCCCCATGTCCACTATGTAAAAGGGCAATTTCTTCATATCAGTAAGTCTGGGAAATCTATTTTCAAGACCATGAGCTGGTTCTGGCATGAACTTGAAGAACTCATGGTTTGAGGTCACGTTCTCCTTGTTTTTCCAAACTAGAAACAAATTTATTTTAGTTTATCTTAATAAGAATTTAAGACCCCTTCTTTTTAGTGACATTCTCCATAAGACTTGTGGTTCAGAAATACCACTACTACTCCAATTCCCCAGATCAGAAAGATGGCCTTTTGGGCCACAATTCATACAGAACAAAAGTTCATACCACACAGAAGTAAACACTAGTGGTTCATCCACCTATCTATGAGTCTGATTCCACTGTCATCTTGCATTCTGTTACAGGGCTCGGTACTACTACAACAGTGTCACAGATGACTCAGATTGTTAAAGCTGAAAAGGGCTTTAGAAATCATCTGATTCACCTTCCTCATTTCACAAAGAGGGCTCTGAGCCTCAGAAAGGTGATGTATCTTGCCCACAAGGCAAGGAGCTACTTCACAGCAGATCCAAAAGGAGAACTTAGGTCTCCAGAACCCCAGTGTGGAGCCCTCTCCACTGTTTAGGGGACGGGAGGGAGCCTAGCATGTCAAGACTGAGAAGGACACTGGAGTCACAAACATCAGAGGTGGGACCTAGGAAACTATGCAAAGAAATAGCCATGTAGCATCCCAAGCCCTGTGAACTGACATCAGCAGAGGCAGGCAACAGATAAAGGCTGTCAATTATAGCAAAACTGTCCCACAGTTTTGGAGAAAAGTAGATGATTCAATCAGTTGTTACCTATATAAACCAAAAAATTCCAGGTATACCCTGAAAAGCAAAGAACTATTTTGTGATTAAAGTAAACAAACATTTATTGAAAGTAAACAAACATTTGTTTGTTTACATTGAAAGTAAACAAACAAGTAAACAAACATTTATTGAAAGGCATTTACCGTATCACAGTAAATACTGAGTGTGTGTTTCCTCAATAATTTTTTCACTTACCCGAGGTAAGAAAAATATTTTACATTGAGATCCAATATGCTTATTCATATAAGTGCAAAAAAGAAAAAGAAAAAGAAAAAGAACCCCCAATAATAGTTTTGGGGAAAATACTTATCCTTACTCTACATGATAAAGAACAAATATAATAAACTGAATAGCAAATATGATTTTATGAACATTTAATAGAACACAAATTTAAAATGTCAAAATAAATGATAACGAAATAAATTCCAAAATAACAAACAAACAAAAATACTTGTGAAAACCTATTATATTCATTTCGTGACCAACTAGAGATGGTTCCATACACGGTTTTAAAAAGTATGGTATAAATCAAACAGCATGAATGAGCTCCTAGTTAGAAAGACTTTTAGCAATCTGGGAGATTTATTAGCTATCTGATGTTGGGTACATCGCTTCACCTACCACTCCACTTAACAGGCCTGAGTTTCCGTTTCTTGACTTATAAAATGGTACTAATCATTCAACCCTACAGGGTAGTGGAGGGCTATAAAATAGTTCTATATTTCCTGGATTCTAAGATGGTCATTTCCTTACATTTAAAAATATCAGGGATGTTTCAGATGTCACTTAGTAATAATCTAAGTGTCTATTATCTGTGGCTGTGCTCTCATATGAAGAGAAAGCTTATGGTCCACAAAAGCTAAAATATTTACTATCTGGCTCTATACAGAAAAAAGTTTGCTAACTTCTGATTTCAGAGAAAAAAATTGAAGAAAGAACCAAGAATAGGAGAGACAAGGTAGAAGGAAAGATTAGGAAAGTATTAAATGAGGTGCCTTCAAGTGATAAGATAATCTTTGTTAGGTGAGGAAGAGTGTAAATAGAGAAAAGGCACAGAAATAATAAACTTAAATCAAGCTCAACGTTAGCAAAAGTTTAAGGGCATAAATGCTACTTAAGGCTAAAAGCTGAAGTCAAGAATGTATTTCTCTATGGCCCAGCAATCCCACTACTGGGCACATACCCTGAGAAAACCATCATTCAAAAAGAGTCATGTACCACAATGTTCACTGCAGCTCTATTTACAAGAGCCAGGACATGGAAGCAACCTAAGTGTCCATCGACAGATGAATGGATAAAGAAGATGTGGCACATACATACAATGGAATATTACTCAGCCATAAAAGGAAACGAAACTGGGTTATTTGTAGTGAGGTGGATGGACCTAGAGTCTGTTATATAGAGTGAAGTAAGTCAGAAAGAGAAAAACAAATACCGTATGCTAACACATATATGTGGAATCTAAAAAAAAAAAAAAAATGGTTCTGATGAACCTAGGGGCAGGACAGGAATAAAGAGACAGACGTAGAGAATGGACTAGAGGACACAGGGAGGGGGAAGGGTAAGCTGGGACGAAGTGAGAGAGTGGCATGGACATATATACACTACCAAATGTAAAACAGATAGCTAGTGGGAAGCAGCTGCATCACACTGGGAGATCAGCTCGGTGCTGTGTGACCACCTAGAGGGGTGCGATAGGGAGGGTGAGAGGGAGATGCAAGAGGGAGGGGATATGGGGATACATGTATACGTACAGCTGATTCACTTTGTTATACAGCAGAAACTAACTCAACATTGTAAAGCAATTATACTCCAATAAAGATGTTAAAAAAATTGTTTTTTAATAAAAAAAAGAAGAATGTATTTCTCCCCCAAGATTACAAAGTAAAAATGTTTCATCTTAGGAGCTGCAGTTAAAGAAAAACACATATAATTAAGAGACAGCCTCTTTTACAAACTGAATGTAACAATAATTGGATTTAATTTGGTTATGGTTATTGATTTACATGTTTATTACAGAAACATCTTTGAGACCATAAAGAATATTATAAAAAAATATTCAAATTAAAAAAAATAAATCTACGTGTGTAGAATTAACGTGGCAGCTCTTCCTCTTCTCCTAAAAAGCTGCTGTTAAATGGATGACACTCTAGAATAGAGTACATGTTGATTACATGTGCTAGATTACCAAAAAAAGGCACTGTGAACCCCGTGTTTCTTTTGAGCCCAGGAGGGTTGCCTTTCTTTTAAGTATATAAAGCTCTGGAGAAAGGAGTCTGCAGTGGACAAAAAGGAGCTCAGAACAGGTTTTCTGACAGCTCATTATGCTTCTCTGGTGCCAGTAGCCTCGGCCTCATTTAATGGGGGTGATGTAATTACTTCGCCCAACTTCCCTAACAGTAGTAGAGAAAACCTTAGCCTACAATTCACACAAACCGAAAAAAGACTAAGAATCAAAAAAGTCATTTATTCTAGATTAACCCTTGTCAAAAATTTCCTTTAATTTATAAAAGAAATAAAATTGAAAAGGTAAATCTATAAGATGATGTATGTGCAAAGCTTATTTGGTGTTGGATTCTCCAAACAGAAACTGAAATGACATGAGCGAAGAAGCAGTCACTTATTCACCATCCATAATAAGCCAGGATGCTGGGTAGCAGAAATGACAGCAACTAGGGGGAGCGAAGTAGCCACCAGGCAGGCAGGCGGACTTTTCATGCTTTTATCTCCTTTCCGATAAACGTTTCCTGGCACAAGCATTCCTTAACTGTGTTCTACCTTTCTATGAAACAAACAGTACTATTTTTGTCTTAAAACCACTATCATATTTCATCACAAATTACACATTCTAGGGTATACCAACCCTTCAAACACCTGAGCCGTCTGATCGGGATTCAGGATCAGACAACTGTGGTATCTCCTGAGAACGGCCACAATGCAGACACACAGTCCCGTTGTGTAACTTCCTGCCAGGCTGGAGGATTTCAGGAGCAGTTCGGCTTCCACAACACTCAGTTCATTCAGGAGCTACAACGGGAGAAAAGATCGAAGAAAAATGTAGCTGCCAAAACAAATAGGAAAGACGTTTATTTTTACAAACCACGGATATATTGAGTCATTCTAAAACTACTTGATCTCCTTCCTTGTCCTGCCCCAGGAACATGCACATATACAACCACAGTCTCAGCAACCCAATGAGTTAACTGGTTTTTATTTTTAATACTTTATCAAATTATAGAGCTTTCCTTCTGTCTGGGCATCACGGTGCATGCAATCGAGAGGTACCCAATACTGAAACAGTTATCAAAATTTTATGGTGGTCCAAAGTTCTGGACTGGATAATTTCAGAGAAGAACATCCCCACCTCTGACTTTTTTTCCACTTTCCCCTCCTTTTCAATAAATGGAAGTTATTTATCATCATTTTCTTATTATTAACAAAGCTAACACCTCCAATAGAATAAGTAAAAGAAACCAAGTTTTATGTCTACTCACTAGTGAAATAACAAATGAACTCAAGTATGTGTATAAGAAAAATAGTGGAACAAATTAATGTTTCATATTTTTTGCTCTTCCCTAAAATATACTCTACTATAAATAGCAAACAAACTTTCACCTTTCCCTAAGCAAAAAACAAAAGACAAACAAGAAATACCCTCAAAGCTCTCACGTTTTAAAGTGACTATTACTATATTTTAGCACAAATTATAATTATTTAGTTGAAAATTATGAACACAGATGCAATTAAAATGCTAGTTGAAAATGCTAGTTGAGTACTGTTGACTCAGAATGTTCCAACTATTCAAAAATGCACTGGGTGGCTCATTTTAAACTTTACAATGCCTAGTAGGTTTGCCTTCTGCAAAAAAGAGAGAAGCAGGATCCCTTTGACACCTGTATTGCAAAGTCAATGAGGCCATTGATATTCAGTGCTGGCTCCATGAGATCAAAGATGAGCTGAATATGGTGGGCCAATGGGAGATGGTACGATGTTCCTGATGCAAAGCTTGTGATTTGTTCCAGCACATTGTTAGAGATCTGTGGAAAAAAAAAAAAAAAAAAAAAAAAAGTGAAAGTAATCGTAAGGCCAACAGTCCAAATAACTTTTATTTATTAAATTACTTCAATTTTTTAGGTAAGAAACGTGAATTTATACGTGATTCCACTTAGAAGTTGAAACATACTTCTACAGAAAACAAAACCATGTACAAATGCAATAATATCCTTAAAACAACTATAATTTGAAGAAATAAGCTGAGTTGTCATTCAGATCTACACCCAACTCTCCTAAAGGCAGGACAACAATAAATGCTAATTAATTTCCAGATGACATCTATTTGACTATCAATGGATTTGTAAAACAAAATAGATTTGGTTTCTTCTCAATGGCATAGTAATTTTTCTTCAGTCAGCAACAGATTTCTCCCTTATCGATAGCAATGTAGGACTAAAATGTAATAATATAAGTACTGCATTATAGATTATTTTATATAGTGTTGATTATTATCATACGGTAAAAATATTTCCATGATAAAAATTAATTCCTCTGAGGAAGGCAACCTGACACTTAAAACTGAACTGCTTGATAGTTTAAGATGCTTCCAAATATGTTTAAAAAATGTATTTATAAAACAAGTAAAGCCAAAAACATACATTGCATGAAAAAGATTTTTAAGGAAGTATCCCAAATGCGCAATAAAACAGCTTTAATGGCTACCTGAGATGTCACTTGATGTTGGTCAAAATATGAAAGGAGTTGAAGTTTTGTGAACACAGTCTCCAGTGTTGGAAATGCCTCCTGTTTGCTCTTCCTGGCTTTCTGTCCTTCATCTCCAACTAAATAAACACACAGTAGGTATATTATTTTCCATTTAGTTGAAGCTCTTGACTTTAATGGATACTTTTTATTGAAGTATAACATACGAATGGAAAATTGTACAAACTTACTGAATTTCTACAAAATAAATTTATGTAATGAAACTCAAATCACAAAATCACGTACCAAAACTCCAGAAGGCCCCTCAGGTTCCCTCCAGTCACTTCTCCCTCCTCAGAGAACCAAGATCCTGACCTCTAATGGCTTGGATTAGTATTGCTCACTTTGGAACTTTATACAAATGGAATCATATGATACGTACTTTTTACATCTGGCATCTTTCACTCAAAATTATGCTTCTGAGATTGATTCATACTGTTGAGGTAATTTTATTTTTTTTCTAAAAATTAACAATTCTCAGGACTTCCCTGGTGGCGCAGTGGTTAAGAATCCACCTGCCAATGCAGGGGACGCAGGTTCGATCCCTGGTCCAGGAAGATCCCACATGCCACGGAGCAACTAAGCCCGTGCACCACAACTACTGAGCTCAAAGAGTAGCCCCACTCGGCGCAACTAGAGAAAGCCCACGCACAGCAACGAAGACCCAACGCAGCCATACATACATACATACATACATAAATAAAATTACAAAAAAAAACACAAAAAACAATTCTCATTTATGTACTATACCTAAACTTTTGGCTATTAATGAGAAGTCCCTCTATAAACGTTTCTTACCCACTGACTTTTAAAATACAATATCGTGCACCACAACTACTGAGTTCAAAGAGTAGCCCCACTCGGCGCAACTAGAGAAAGCCCACGCACAGCAACGAAGACCCAACGCAGCCATACATACATACATACATACATAAATAAAATTACAAAAAAAACACAAAAAACAATTCTCATTTATGTACTATACCTAAACTTTTGGCTATTAATGAGAAGTCCCTCTATAAACGTTTCTTACCCACTGACTTTTAAAATACGATATCAACAATGAATGGGGAAAAAAAAAATCACCGAGGCTCACATTGATATAATAGGAAAAACTTCACTGGCATTTTCTTAGGAGATTCCCAAACAGTTTAGTACGTAAAAAAGGAAATTTACACAATGCCTAACTTTTTTAGGGGTAGAAAGGGATTAAATCTCTCCACCTTAATGGAAACGTGCTACCTTTATCAATTCAGTATAAAGAACTTTGAAGAAAATATCAATAAGAAATACTATAAACATTGCTTATTCCAGAGGGACTCTTGCCCTTAACAGCTCTAAGGATAAGATCCAGAAATAATTAGGTCCTATTTTAAAATATTTTTTAATATATGTATTTACAAACACAAATCTAAAAACAAAAAGGAAATGTTGGATTATACGATCTCCACGAAAGATCATTTCCAACACTATGGTTCTAAGCAGTCAAAGGCTACTGAGAAAAAAGCCCTCTTACATCATCTTATTTGGGAAAGTTTAATTGGGGAGACAGAGCTCACTTTACTGATTTTTCTATTAAAGATTCAAGAAGGATTTCACTAAACTCAAAAGGCTTTGCTAATGGCAAATGTAATGGATTTAGAAAATAACAAGAAAGGAGACTTCTCTTTCAACAATAAGCAGTTGTGGTTTATAGATAGGCAAAAGACAAGCAAAAAACCCAGGCTGTTGTTTCGTAAAACAAACAAACTTAGAATTAAAAGGTGCTGAGTAACATAAGGTACAAGATTGTGTGTCACTTTTGTCAAATATCACCAAATGTAACGCAAATAATAAGAAAGGAGTTCACGAAACCTACTTGTTTTTCAACATCTATTCTCAAAAGGTACAAGTGGCATTTTGCCTTCAATACAGCTGTTTGCATGTCATGAGCATGTGTAAAATATCCAAGTTTTGAATTTTTCATTTACTAACATCATTAGTCCAAGGCTGAAAACTTACACCAATAGTTTTGGGTACCATGAGCTTTGGAAGTGAAGTTAATATATTTATTCAGTCCTTCCTGGGACCAAAACCAAGTCTGTTACCAAGAAAAGTAACAGACTGGAGGACGTGGACCCAGCACGAGAACTCACAAATACCTCTTTTTTTGGTTTGTCTATATTAATAGGCTCTGTTTACTTACACATAGCTAACTTCTCAAGACCTCTTATAAAAAAAGATGCAATTGACTCTTGGCAATTTACATTCACTTTGAGAGAAAAATTTAAGAAATTAGTGGTGGTTCTCAAAGGAATATTTTAATGACACTGACATAGATAACAGTATAGTCATAATTCATAGATTTTCATCTGTTTTATGTTAATTTGCTTTCATAATATATATTATTGCTCTCTTGTTGCTTAATTTTGATTTTCCTTTTTTTTTAAATCTCTAATCCTGGAAGTTCTGACTTTTATTGGTATGGTAAAACTTCATTAATGTTTTGAAAATTTACACCCAAAGGTGACTAGTCAATGTAAATGTAAAATGAGATTTGAACATGTTCAACTGGAAATGTCATTTCAGCTTTAGATTATAAATCTCCCCCCGCCCCCAGGCAAGGTCCGGTTGATCTGAGAGCACTCCTAATGAGTTCCTCAAAATCATGTTTTTATGTGTAGCCAGAAATCAAATACATGCTAAGACAACCTCTGTTTTCCTGCCTCACCAGCCTCTTTATCAGAAGGCAGCTCACTACATCCCAAATTAACAAACATATTTCTGGTTGAGGAGTTTTATCTAAAACGTGGGAAAGACAAAAATCCCCACTGAAGATGACCCTCTCCTCAGGGGTGCATCCAGTACTGTACCGGATATCTCAGAAATTAGCGTGGAACAACAATGATTTTCTCCTGGTGAGTTCACAAGCAAGAACTGCCTATTTAAGAGACTGGTACAAAGATAGGACAGACAATAGTCTAGCATTTTAAAAAAAACTTTATAAAGGAAGGAAGTAGACTCAGCAGAAAAGGATACCGTGTTGCTTCCTTCCCCGTCCCACCCCTCTCAGCGTCCCCAAACCAAACGTTCCACAGGACCTGAAAAGACTCTCTAAAAGTAATTTAGGTAAAAGCCCATATTACTGAACCTTCGAAAGGACACAGTGTCCATCCCATTCCCAAATATACAAAAAGTAGCTTCAAATATACTTTGCTAGCTAGCTGCAGGGCTTTGGGATTCAGCCCATTTCCTCTTTTCTCTAACAGAGAAAACAGCAAAACAACAGATCAACAGTTTTTTTTAGAGCAGTTCTTCACCCCTCCCCAATCTCAATAATGACAACAGTGTTTCATTTCCCTTCCACAACCTCATGGCGCCTGTGTAGCACTAGCTCTTTAAGAGGCCACAGAAGTGAGTTAGGGAATGTGATGCAAATAACACGAAGGTAGCCTTCCCACTGTGTTCTAAGACATCAGACACCCAAAACACACATTCAGACTAAAAACACTTCGCCCTGCCCTCGTACCTTGTTTCTGCACCTGCACCCTTACTGATGGAGAGGAAAGAGAGATATTTGCAATAGTTATATCTGTCCTTTTCTGTGGGAAAGATCTAGTGTGGGCAAGCTCTAGTAACTCATCCAGGTAGAGTCCTAAAGACTGGATCCCCTGTGGAGAGGTTCGTAAAACAGTATTTATTTTGTACTGAACAAGAAAGCAGGGCTCCTAGAGGTGGCTTATGCCCTGTGTAGGAAGCGTGCTGTTCGCACAGGGAAAATCCAAACTTTTTTTCCCCATTATATTATTTAAGTAACAGAGAGATAAATACCAGTGGTGGTAGTGGAGTATACATAATGATAGCATACTTTAAATCGTATGACTGTCTAATAAAAGAAACAAACTTTGAAGAGTAATTAGGCAAATGTGAGGTGGATAATTACAAAGTTCCAATTATGTTATATGGTGACATAATACAAAGGCATGACTTCACTGTAAGAGCTATGTAAAAAGCTTGGTGACAGGGCATCCCAAGTAAAGGCATTATGGAGCAAAGACCCAGTTTTCTTTTTACTTGTAATCGTCTGGAGACGTGGGTAGCCTCCCCTACCTACTGCAATTATTCTTCTGAATAACGTAAGGAAAGATCGGCCACTGCTATGCCACGATTTTTAATCATCATGTAAATATGAGTACCCAGAGCCAACCAGAAGCTTGAAAAGGGATGCAACTGGGGGAATGGACCTCTTCCGGCCTAAGGGTTTTCCAACTCATTCTTCAATACTTTCTGTATGACTGCTGTGGAGAATTTGGGAAATACGAAAAGAAGAGGAGCAAATGAAATCACCTCTATCCATCTATAGAAGGTGCTATTTTCATGCAAGCATTACTATAAATGGGACCAAGGCCTTAAACTTTCAATGTGCTTATTCATATTTCAACGTGACAGTCATTCGGGGGAGGAAACCCTCTGCTGACAGTGCCATGTACGACTGTGATAAAGACCGTGCTGAGGGGAAGACAAACGACAGCACAATGGGGGCAAACGCATTAGGGCTCTTTACCCCCGGTCTCTGTGGTGCTCTTCTTATTTAGGATTTTCAAAATATCTTTGGTAATTTTCTTCAACTGATGCCTCGCTTCTTCACGCTCTTTGCCCACTCCATAAAGAAGAATTGTGCGCTGGTTATACTCATGACTTGAAGATTCATCCTGAAAAACAGAAAATGCATTCTGAAACCCCTGTTTAAAGGATGGGGTTCACGGACATGATATGCGCTGACCACAGCAGCTCCATGCTGGCTCGTGCGGTGGTGGCATCCCGCCCACCTTTCAATTCACCTCAACTTCCACTGGCAACACCCTTGTTTTTCCAGTTTGGAACTTGCTAAAGTAAAAAAAAAAAAAAGTGTCAACTGACCTGAAGTCTTAATAGAAGCAGTTGATGTGGGCGTACCTTACAGAGTAAGTTTTGACTCTTGATTGTTTAAAATTTAACATGGTATTAATTTCACATCCTATTACATACTATCTAGTTAAAATTTTTCCTTATGGAAAATGTTATTTCTTAGCAAGCTCAGTTTTCTGCATGCATTAAACATCATTAAACATTTTATATTTAGAAAAAAGAGGATCCTCAAGTACTTTTATTAAAAAAAAAAGTTCCATTTACTTCCAATATGACTGTGTAAGACACATGTGTATTTCTTTCCAAATGGAAAACGACAGACAGCATGGGTCTCATTAGGTGTGAGGAAAATAGCTGGAAACGCAAACACGTTCTGACACTACCTTCCTCTTCTGGACCACCTTCCCACACCTGCCCCACAGACACAGTGAATTCAAGCACTATTTTTCTCACAAGGGAGAGGAAATTACTTAGTCACAGCATCACAAAAACAAACACACCGCTAAACACATTCTTTAGCCAGAGTTAAAGAGTCCAGGATGTGTCCTCTCTTATGCCTGGTTTTGAATTTTTCTATCTAAATTTCTCTCTTGGATCCTATACTCTTCCATTTTCTTAGTGAAATTCCTAGCTCTATGTTTCAGTTCATCTCCTTTTCTTACCATTTGTACATGTTTGCCCATGCGAGGTACTTACTCTCCCCAACGGTATCTATCCCTAAGGAGCTCACGTGCGGGAAGTTTTGTCCCAGGGAAAACAAACTGCACTGTGTGCACATAAATTAGTAATGGCTGCAAAAAAGAGCAAAGTCCTTGTGACCTGGAGAACGACAATGTTCAGTTTGGAGTACTCCACGTGTGCACTCTGCACAAAGTAGCATTTTGCTTCTTTAGCCTTGAAGTAAGAGCCTGTTTCTTCTCAGTTTCTGTCACTGTTCTCTCAGTCTCTTTTTGTCATGCTGTCTTTCTCTCACCTGCCTGCATTCAAAGCACCACTTCTTGCACTGGTTCCTTTTTTTTATAACGTTCTATCAGAAATACACATTGGCATACTCTGCCAATCTATCTTGCTACCAAGTCCCCCAATAACTAATATTTCAGGTTGTTCAAACCGAGTGAGTCTTTTCTAGAAGCTGTTATTTAATACCTTGAGTTTCAAAATCTCCTCCGAAGTTTCAAAAGGCAGACCTAACCACAGGATAAAGTTGACATAGGTAGTGATTGCTGTATCTCAGTGACCTGAGCTACTTTGTCAATCTCCAATTTTTGTTGTCGTTACACAGCATTACTGATATACTTCCTGGTGGGGTGTGTACATATAAGCAAGCCCTACAAAGGGGACAGAAGGGTGATGAGGATACTGCACAAAACTCAGATGTCAGTCATGTGCCCTGGTGATTGTTTTCAGTTAAGGCACCTGTCAAATGGTTCTAATGTAAACCTGTTGTGTGAGGGGTGATGGAAAGATGTTAGCAACAGCTGTTTATAGAGTACCTACCTACAGCAAGACAAGGTACTAAGAACTCTGAGAAAATGCAAGGATGAATGTTCCCTGATTTAAGGAGTACAGATTCAGTATCATAGAGATAGCACCTGCAGAGCTCGAACCCCAAACAGGGATGGTGACGGAAGGTATCCTGGAAAGACCCATGTGTTCTATGAACACAGGGTACTATGGCTCCATATTGGCCCAATAACAGTCCGAGCTCAGGGTAAGAGAGAGCTGTGACTGCATCCAGGCTGTGTCACTTGCCAACGCCATGGCCCAAGATAATGAGCCTTTTTGAGCCTCAGATTCTTCCTCTGAAAAATGGTTAACACTACATACCTTATAAGGTTTTGGTGAGAGTGGGGATCTGTCTGTAAAATGCTTAGTGGCATATCAGACACAGCACCCCCTGCTGTCCATTGATATTACTGCACCTCCACGCCTTCCCTGCAGGCACCCCACAGCCACGCTGTGCTGCATCATTGCTCAACATTTCCCAAAGGTGCCGGGCACTTCCTTCCTTTGCTGGTCTCCTCCCACCACCTGAAATACTCTCAACAGCCTCAAGTGCACGTGTGGAAATGCTATGCATGATGACAGCGTCAGGTCCCTCCCTCTGTCAACTCACTTTAGCGAAAGCCCTCACTGCAGAGGGAGGTGTGCGGAGAAGGAGAAGCGACTTTGGAGCATTTATCGCTGTGTAATTCACCTATTTTCTAGGTATCTGTTTAATGTCTGTCTTCCTCACTAGACCATTCACATTTATATTTTCCTTAATGGCACTGACTAAGCACTTAATATTTGTTGAATGCATGAAATAATGAATAAACAAGTGGATTAATGAAGAAACATGTGACTAAAAGAATAGGGCAGGGATGAAGAAAAAAAAGAAAAACTAGTTTAGTAGGAAACTTAACCTGATAACTAAGTGTTTAAAAAAACTGAAGAGGAAAAATGAAAGGCAGAGAGAAGTTTAGACCAAAAAAGTCTGTAGGGTGTAAACTAGGTCTTAGTGGTGGGAATAAAAAATAAGAAGCAAAATCAAGAGGTATCTGAGGAAGTTAGGAAAGGATCAGGCATCTGAGTGAATGTGCATCTCATTTCAAGATGGACTCACTAGATAAAATTTGTTGGGGTCCGGGCAGGGGCGGGGAAGGAGTAAGGTTATAAGGGCAGGGAGCTCATGAATTCACCGTTAGGTGAGAGGAATTCAAGGGGTAGGTGGAAATGTATTACAAATGTCTAGTAGGTGGTTTGACGGCAGGTCTAATGCAGAAGTGACAGCTTACGGATAAGAGCACTATGTAACTGGAAGGCATTCAAAACCCCCGTGTTCTCTTTGGGCAGGGGTAGGGAGGGAAAACAGCTGCAATAGTGAAGGGGATAAATAAACCATCAAATGATGGACACACACTCTCCATAGTTAATAAATAATCGGACAAGTTAAAATCACAAAAGCAAGGGAAGGGACAGTTAGCAACAGGGGTCATCAACAGTGTTGAATACAGTTAAGAAATCACAACGGGGCTTCCCCGGTGGTGCAGTCGTTGAGAGTCCGCCTGCCGATGCAGGGGACACGGGTTCGTGCCCCGGTCCGGGAGGATCCCACGTGCCGCAGAGCGGCTGGGCCCGTGAGCCATGGCCGCTGAGCCTGCGCGTCCGGAGCCTGTGCTCCGCAACGGGAGAGGCCGCAGCAGTGAGAGGCCCGCGTACCGCAAAAACAAAAAACAAAAAAACCCAAACAAACAAAAACAGAAAACCACATGTGTGAACCTCAAAAGAGAAGTTTCTCTAGAGTGGTAGGGGCAGAAGGCAGGAAACAGGAGGTTGAAGTAACAGCAGATGGTGAAATGGTGAAGGTGTGGGAAGTAAACCACACTTACTAGTAGTTGGGTATAGAGAACAATGGCTTGAGAGAAAAGTGATCATTGTATTAGGATAACCAATGACAAACTGGTTTCAAAGCTATGCTTCAAATGAGTCTCCATAAAGGAAATCCGGACTGGAGGGCAGATAACTGACAAAGGAGATGGGTAACAGTGACCTCTTGTCTGGATTAACTTCAAAAGACCAGGACATCTTTCTACTTAACCACAGACAAGAAAGAAAATTGGTGAAAATACAGGGAAATCTGGAGGTGAAGAAGTGAGGAACTTGAAGACGCTTGTATTAGTTCATTGGCTCTGTTATGTTCAGGGAAGTGGGCCAGAAGCAAAGCAAAGCAAAGCCATGAGGTGAGAGTAAGGGGATGGAATTAAAAAGCAAGAGAAGCCTGCAGTTAGCTGGGCGGGGTGGTGGGGGGAACCACCGGTCAACCTCCATATGGGGCATGAAGACTGTGTTTCTGACAGTTAACATTTTTCAGGGAAACCGTGAGAGCCGTCACTAGTCTTCAAAGAGGAAAGGCAAACACGTTTTCAAAGCAACTCTTTTTCAATAGCCTACAAGATTGGTTTACATCAATTTTTTGTGCATGTAGAAAATGCACAAGTCTTTAAATAGCAACTTATACATGAGAATAAGGTCAATCTCAGAAAATGGGCCAAATGTATCCAAAGGTATCAATGAGTTCTCCTCTTTAAACTAGGTATTAAAACACCCTCAAGTTGCATAGTTGTAAAGATCAGTACCAAAGAATTATTCTCTTGTTGATACCCTGAAGGACACGTTTGTGGGGTGGAGAAAGGATCCATAGGAGAGTCCGTGGAAGTCTAGCTAACCCCTTTCATGCTAGCCCCCTGCTGTCCTTGGGCTAAACAGGTCACCCCCACTGAGTTCTGAAAATCTCATCCTCCAGATCAATCACTTTCTTTCTCCAGATAATATCTCACACTCACACTTAATTGATCTTTTAAAAACCTAGGAGGATGCACATCCAAAAACTCTGGAAGGATTGCTGTACCACAGAAATTCAAAGATGTCTCTTGAGCCAAATGTCCTGAAAAGGGAAAACTTGGAGTTAACTGAAGCCTGATATTAGTCATCTTCATTTCTTTAAAATGAGTGATTAGAAATGTTGCCAAAACATGTGTGTGTGTTCACAAGGATGCGATAATGGTGGTGAGATTATCAGAGCCATGTACTCTCCTTTCACCTCCAATCATCATTTCTTTCAGCTGAAGCTTTCAATGTACCACGTTATTCTGTTTAGAATAAAATAAATTCAAATCAATGTTACGGCAGTAATAAGCCTTGGGCTGGTGGGGGGGAGGTGGGTGTGCACACCGTGGAGAGGCTGTGTGAAAGGAACAAGGAGATCAGCAGCTTCTCAGTATAACTACACCTGACCTGGAGTAACTCTTTCTAATTCAAGAAA